TAAATCTATAATTAGTGGCATTTTTGTAAATGGACACCCCTAAGTGGCATTCTTGCAAATTGGCACACAAAAAGTGGCATTTTTGTAATTGCCCCAAATATTATAGTATCATATTATTAGTTTGAATTTTTTTCCATATACAATGTATATAACACAAATGGATAACAAACATACACATGTTAATTAACTAGTGGATTTGAAATATATTTATATGGAAACACATGCATTTCTAAAAAAAAGAGGAAAATTTTCAAATAATGCCACTTTTCAAGTGTCACTTTACAAAAATGCCACTCTTTTGAAATCTTTACAAAATGCCATTTTTTCAAAATTATTTTTTCTTTATATTATTTATGTTTGGGTTAATTATGTTCTATTAGAGTTTAGTTTTAAGTGTTTAGGGGGTTTTAGGTGTCAAAACATTTTTTAGGGTTTAGAATTTTAAGATATATGCTTTATAAATTTATAATTAGTGGCATTTTTGTAAATGGACACCCATAAGTGGTATTTTTGTAAATGTGCACACAAAATGTGGCATTTTTGTAATTGCCCCAAGAAAGAGAGGTCCAAATGGTCAAAATTCAGAACCTTTCTAAAAACAAAATCGTCTACATTATTGTAACAATATTCAATATTTGATTTTCTTACCTTATGTTTACCAAGAAAGGATTCCAAAAGGTAATATAAATCCGGCTAAAACACATCTAGCAATGCGAATACGTTTTAAATTTCTAAACTTCTATATATAGCCATGCATGTATTTACAAGTTGGAGATTTGAGTCTCAATTAATATATTAGTAAGATCCATGACATAAAAAAGAAAAATATTATACGTATGGTCTTTTCAGTGGGGAAAAAAATCATCAAAAGGGAAAAACAATCTAAAAATGATTTTTTTTTTAATAACTTTTGTTTTTATCTCTAACCCTGCCAAGTGACAAGCCTTAAGCTTCTTATAAATAGCTGGAAGATCAGACCAGTCTTATCATAACGACAACTACCTTCTATAGAACGAGTATAGATCGAGAGAAAGAGAGCCAAGTGAGAAAATGACTTGTGATGCCATTGAAGGAGTCAGAAACCAGGAGACTAAACATGTCGAAATCGAGCCTAATGGTGCATGCGAAACGAAAATGGTGAGGCCACGATTGCTTGTTGTGTCGATGTCGCTTCCGGTTACCGCAAAGAGGACTGGCGAAGATTCATGGTCTTTCACCATGAGTCCTGGTGGTTTAGTTAGTGCTCTTCTTGGTAAGCATAAGACAAGTTTGGTAATATATGTAATTGATGTAAAACACAAGAAAAGCAGTTTTAATATTCCACTAATTTGTTGTGATCTCTTAAAGGTTTGAAAGAGTTTGAGACCAAATGGATTGGATGGCCTGGAGTCGATGTTCATGATGCGGTCGGGAAAAAAGCACTCTCTAGTGCTCTAGCTAAGAAGGTACTTACAGATTTTAAGATGTCGTAAATGGTCATGTTCTGATTTGTGATTATGAATTAAAGGCTGAATCCTATACTAAAATCAGGATCGTACAACCGTTATGTAAATTTGGCATTAGTCACATGAGACTCGAGGAAAAATCGATCAAGGACCCTCTTTTTTTTGGGGTAAAGGATCAACGACCTTGATTAATAGAATGATGAAAACTTGGGTTATGCCTCGGTTAATTTTAACCCCAATATTATATGTTTGCATGTGAAAAACAGAATTAAAAAATATTTAGGTGTTAAAATTAAAAATATAAAACATTTTAAGTTTTTTTTTATATATTTAATTTTTGCAAAATGTAAACGCATACATCAAACCCAAACATGAGGAGAACCTTCTGTTTCAGTTTGGTGTTTGCATTTATAATTAACAAATTTATACTTTGTGCTAAAGATTATGCGTGATTTGAAAAAAAAAAAACAATAATTACGCACTAAATATATAACCATATTATGCAAACGTAAAAAAAAATCGATACATTTGTTATCAACTTAATAAAAAATTATGCACTAAATATAACCCTTGGTTTTGGTTTGCAGGGTTGTATCCCTGTATTTCTGGAAGAAGTTTGTGATCAATACTATAATGGCTACTGCAACAATATTCTGTGGCCGATTTTTCACTACTTAGGAACCCCACCAGAATACCGTAACGATGCAACCATAACATACCAGTCACAGTATGATGCATACAAGAAAGCAAATCGTATTTTCTTTGATGTCGTTAAAGAGCACTATGAAGAAGGAGATGTGGTTTGGTGCCATGATTATCATGTTATGCTTCTTCCTCAATATCTAAAGGAATATAACAGTAAGATGAAAGTTGGATGGTTTCTCCATACACCATTTCCTTCTTCCGAGATGTACAAAACGTTGCCCTCGCGATCCGACCTACTTCGTTCTGTTCTTACTGCTGATTTAGTCGGGTAAATTTTTTTTCTTTTAATAGTATATAGTCATTATTTGTATTAAAAAAGGGTAATTATCTCATACGTACGCTTATTTTTGTTGTTCCTTTCCAGTTTCCATACCTATGATTTTGCAAGACATTTCGTGAATGCATGCATGTGTATTCTTGGAGTCGAAGCAACGTCTGAAGGAGTTGTGGATCAGGGCAAAGTCACTCGAGTAGCTGTTGTAAATGACCCATCTTAAAAATATCTTATTATTTATTATTTCTTTGATTTTACCATCTCATCATGAAAATAAATGTTTTGTGTTTATTTGGATTTTTTAGTTTCCCATTGGGATAGAACCTGAGAGGTTTATAAACACAAGTAAACTCTCTGAGGTTATACAATACATGAAGAAGTTTAAAAACGATTTTGGTGGCAGAAAGGTAGTTTATTACCTTTTCTTATGATCTTTGATGCTTGTTAGAAGAAGAAAAGATGCAACATAATTATTTTTTTTGTTGACAGTTGATATTAGGTGTTGATCGCCTCGATATGATCAAAGGGATTCCACAAAAGTATCAGGCATTTGAGAAATTTCTAGGGGAAAATGAAGATTGGCGCGGTAAAGTCATGTTACTTCAGATTGCTGTGCCAACAAGGAATGGTATTGGTGAATGTAAGTTCTTTTAAGAATTTTAGCAAAAAAAAAAAAAAAGTTCTTTTAAGAAATATCTCATATAGTCTTCTTTTAGCTAATATCATCAAATTCATAGAATTGTGTTTGCATTATATTACAGATCAAAAGATCAAAGACCAATGTCATGGACTTGTTGGACGAATTAATGGTCGTTTTGGTTCTATCTCTTCTGTTCCAATAATTCACCTGGTTAGTTATTTTTGTTTTCATTCAAGTTGTCACCACAGTGATACATTTATGATCATCTTATAGATTCTCACAAAGATTTAATATTTTTCTATGTCGTCAGGATTGTTCTATTGACTTTAATCAACTATGCGCACTTTACGCCATCACAGGTAATTGTCATACTACACGTGATGATTTTGTTACATTATGTATATCATTTTGGCGATGTTAAAGTTAATCGATTTTGATATATCTTATAATCTATCAGTATTGAATATTTTGTCATTATATGTACAACTTATTGTCGATATGAAAATTTTAACATGGGATTGAAAACAAGATGTTTTCTGCCATTCATCTTAATCTAGTTTCACGATAAGATCAAATATCCATCTAGGGACAACCCCTGAATCCGCTACAACATAAAGTTTGTGGAGTGTCATCTCAAAATCAATTGGAAAGAAAATAGCGATATTTGTTCCTCGTATGTTAGATTAAGTCCCAATTTATTTTCGACATATATAGATTCATAACATCTGAGTTTTTTTTTTTCCTTTTCTTCAGATGTATTACTTGTAACATCTTTGAGAGATGGGATGAACCTTGTGAGTTCCGAATTCATTGCTTGCCAAAGAGAGGAAAAAGGGGTTCTTATTCTTAGCGAGGTAATTGAATATTAATGAATCTAATGTGTCTACAATGTTCAGTAAGTAACTTATTTTTGTATGCGGTTCATAGTTTGCGGGTGCCGGACAATCGCTTGGTGCTGGAGCTCTTCTCGTGAATCCTTGGAACATTAAAGAAGTTTCTAATGCCATTGGAGAAGCTCTACATATGTCACCTGAAGAAAAAGAGAGAAAACATAAAATCAATTTTCAGTATGTGAAAACTCATTCTACACAACAGTGGGCAGATGATTTCATGAAGTATGTGTAAATCAAAACATTAATTCTCTTAATAGCTTATTTCAACTTTGTTCTTAACTCTTACAATTTTTTTTGCAGTAAACTTAATGAGATCATAACTAACGCGGATCTAGGAATTAGCAAAGTCCCACATGAACTTCCAGAGCATGATGTGATTCAACAATATATGAAGTCTAACAGTCGACTTGTAATCCTTGTAAGTGTTCTATATGTACATATCAAGATTTGTCTTATCCATACTCTTGTGATCACTTCATCGGGGCCGGCCCTGAGATTTTGGAGACCCAAGCAAAAAAAAAAATATTTATGGGTTTTTAGATATATTTTTAAAATTAGAACAAAATGTTAAAATTTTCAAATTTCGGAGGTCTCTTTTACAAAATAAAAATAAAATAGGGCATTTTGTTATGTTGAAAAACCAAAAATAATTGGGGCCCTAGGCCCAGACCTTATTTGGCTTGGCCTAGGGCCGGCCTTGCATTTCATTATATTTAATAACGGTAAAAATATTCAGGGTTTCTACGGCACACTCACTCACCCGTATAAAAATCAAGAGAGAAGAGACGAACGAATGAGTCTTGAATTGCACCCACAACTTGAAGGAAGACTAAAAGCATTATGCAGTGATCCAAAAACAACAGTAGTTGTTCTGAGTAGAAGTGAAAAAAGCATATTGGATAAAGTATATATTTCCCCTCTTTCTTTTTAAATTTACATAGTTTCTTATTTCTTGACTGATTTATTATCTAAAAACCAGAACTTTGGAGAATACAATATGTGGTTGGCCGCGGAAAATGGAATGTTTCTAAGGCATACAAGTGAAGAGTGGGTTAAAAAAATACCAGAACACATGAATCTTGAATGGATTGATGGTGTCAAGGTTAGTAGTATATATATCTTATAGAACTCAAGTTTCATAATTATACTGGACCTTCTTCAATCTTATAAGGTTGATTTGTCAAACAGAATGTCTTTAAGTACTTCACTGAAAGAACTCCAGGATCATACTTCGAAATAAGCGAGACTTCGGTTGTATGGAATTACGAATATGCAGGTGATTACTTTCTATATATATGGGACAAAAAATAAATAAATGTAAACTATGCACTTGCCTCTCTTATTTTCTTCCAACACTTAATTTATTTTATTTCCTTGATCGTTATATATTTGTAGATGTTGAATTCGGGAGAATTCAAGCAAGAGACATGTTACAACACTTGTGGGCGGGACCAATTTCTAATGCATCAGTGGATGTTGTTCGAGGAGACCGTTCTGTTGAAGTCCATGCAGTTGGTGTGACAAAGGTAATTAATATCATGTTTGATTCTTTATCTTCCATACCCAAGAGATCCTCCATATGTTCTTCCTATATATGTTACTTAGGGAATTGCAATGGACCGTATACTTGGAGAAATAGTGAACAATAATTCGATGACAACACCAATTGATTATGTCTTGTGCATTGGCAGTTTCTTGGTGAAAGTAAGCTTCTTACTTAACTTTAATATTTGATTATACCTATCATATATTAAATTATCCATGAATTTTGATACAAATGGTTGACATATGTTATAGGACGAAGACGTTTACACATTTTTCGAGCCCGGGGTAACCAAAAAAACTAAGCCGTCTCCTGCTTCGGATAGTGACTCACCTAAGAAAGTCTCATCGACCACTGTTGACCTCAAGGATGAGAGTTACTTCTCTGTAGCGATTGGACGAACGCACACAAAGGCTCGCTATTTCCTTGACTCATCCGATGACGTTGTGCAATTGATCCACAAGCTTTGCTTATACAACAATGTTTAACTTGTGATTTTATCCCTTTGCAAAACTCATTTATAGTTTCTCTCTTTTTCAGTTTCGGTCTCATTTACTAATTCTCTCC